AGGTCCACTTTGAGCCTCGCCATCTCCACAGTCTCACACTGATCCCTCAAATTCTTCAAATTCTTCTGAAATGCAGAAGCTGCGTCTTACACTTTGCTACCTAATGCAGCATATAGATTTCTCTACCAATCCTGTGAGCTCCTGGAAAGCAGGATCCCATCTTCTAGCAGTGTTACACATAAAATAGACATATTATTTCTTCTACTCCTTCCTTCCTAAGCGTTCACTGTAAATGGACAAAATGATCAACCTGCTTTAATTATCAGGAACGACCCTGATCGGAGTCCCTGATACTGGATCTCCCCTCACCCTTCATCGTTCCCTTCCTTCCTCATCCAGCAGCTTCACACCCAATTTTTAGGCTCCCTGAATCACCATTAGGATCTCTGCAACAGGCAGCCACACAATGGTAGGTACCATTTCAGGGGCAGACATATTGTAGTATGTGGCTGGACTGTAGCTTTATTTCTAGCTCCCTCTCAGCATAGTCTATTTATTATTATTTTTGGCCACAAAAGCACATCGAATCAGTATCTTCACAGAAGATTCTGTAATAATCTCCAAACTCCTTTTCTGAGTAGCTGGATTAAAATGATAAATCTCGGGGCGCCTGGGTGGCTCAGTCGGTTGAGCGTCCGACTCTTGATTTTGGCTCAGGTCATGATCTCAGGGTGGGGAGATCGAAGCCCCTTGTTGGGCTCCAGGCTGGGCGTGGAGCCTGCTTAGGATTCTCTCTCTTCGTTTGCTCCCCACACCTCAAATAAAAAGAATAAATAAAAGGATAAATCTCTGTCTTACAATATCCAGCCTTCCACGTCACTACGTCCATTTGGGACCCAATTCTTCAGACCTGGTAAGTCTTCTTGATGGTGTATGGCTACCTCCTGGTCAAGTGGAAGCGGTCACAGGACACACATAGCAGGCTATTCGTACTGCCAAACAAGGCCAGTCTAAACACCAATCCCAGAGGCCCCCAGATGCTACAGCTTACACTTCTCCCTTCAGTGACCATTTAGGTCTATCCTGTGTCAGGCAGTGTCCTCCCATGAACCACTTAAAAAAATTTTTTTTTCAGATGATTTAAACATTCTTAGTACGTGTGACCGCTGATTACTATGAATTACGTTGCTAATAACTCAAAAAACTCTGGTGAGCAAAAACGATGTGGCTGCTCCAATGGTCCTTTGAAGCATGCAGGGATCCTCCTCTCTTCTCAGAGCCTCCACCAGCTTGCCTATTATAAACAGATGCACTCCCATTCTGCATTTCCCAGGGCTTCCGGGTTCGCTGAAGTCCTACTGGCATCTGGCCCATTCCCTGGCACAGCACCCTCTGTAGTGGCAGATCACACAGATTTGTCAAGAGTTTCATAATTTCACATACAGGCTTTCAAAACTCTTGGGTGGATTCCATCCTCGTCCAGTGAAATAGCAGATTTAGGTTCACTGAGGTCTAAAACACATCTCCTGCCTGAAACAATCTGAGAAGGGCACTGCTAACATCTGCGGCAGGAAAGAATGATCCACACGGTTCAGACTTTTTTCTTTAACCTCCCTTTCCTTGAGAGCCTTCCTCTGAGTCTCTATTACTCAATCCCTGCTCGCCAGGTCTTTCTCAATCCCTCTGATTTCAAGTCTTCAAAGCGCTAATGAAACGTCTCTTCAGCTCCCATACTCACCCGATCACGTCCACCCTTAGCCAGCGAGACATTGGCAACAGGGAAGGAGCAGAGTAAGGAGGTGGAGGAATCACAGTCAGTCCTAGATGAGAATGGGGATGATACTCCACTAAGTTATAGAGTCTGCCTTACCTGTCCGTACACCTCCTTGGCCCCTAGAGCTCCCTCTTGTCCCCCATCCCTTCTTCCAGAACAGGTACCCTTCTCTCTGTCAGAGAGAGATGGAAAACAAATGCAGCCAGGAGATTCAAGGCACCTGAACAATTCTTTCATTCTCTTCTTGCTACTTTAGCTTATTTCCTCTCGTTAAGAGTGGAAATTCTTACACGGGACTCAATGAACACTTAAAGTTGCACAGTTTCAGATTGAAGTGTTTCTACAGACTCACTCGGGAAGCTTGATAAAAATGCATACTCCTGGGGGCACCTGGGCGGCTCAGTCGGTTAAGCTCCAACTCTTGATTTCGGCTCAGGTCATGATCTCAGGGTCTTCGTTCGGATCAAGTCCTGTGTTGGGCTCCCCACTGGGCATGGACTCTGCTTGGGATTCTCTCTCTCCCTCTGCCCCCCCACCTACTCACGGGCATGCACGCATGCTCTCTCTCTCTCAAAAACAAACAACAACAACAACAAAGCAGATTCCTGGGTCCCATCCCCAGATTCTGGGGCCTAGTTTGAGAAAATTCCTCCCAAGGAATCCAAAGATGGTCTTTTTTTTTTTTTTTTTAAACTTAAATATTTTATTTATCTGAGAGTGAGAAAGGGAGAGGGAGAAGCAGGTGTCCTGCTGAGCGAAGAGCCTGACATGGGGCTCAATCCCGAGACTCCAGGATCATGACCTGAGCCGAAGGCAGACACTTGACTGAGCCACCCAGGTGCCCCCACAGATGGTCTTTAAGAGGCTCACAAATCTCAACTTGTAAGCAAAATTACACATGGGCGTGCATTTATGCGTGTGTGTGTGTGTGTGTATACATACACACACACACACATTTTAGTAAGCTCTACGTCCAACATGGGTCTTGAATTCACGACCCTGAGATCAAGAGTCAGAGTCATGTGCCCTACCAACTGAGCCAGACAGGTGCCCCCGTGCATACATGTTTTTACAGCAGAAGGGCAGAAGTTTTCATGAGATCATGCCTCCTAAAAGTTTAAGTAGCTGTGACTTAAGAAAGTACAATTCATGATCAGAGATTGAAGACAGGAAAAAAAAAAAAAAGGACTTTGGACCATTGATAACAATGCCCCTATCAGCATCCCTTGATTGGTCCTACTGCCACCGTTAAGAGAAAGGGAGAGAATTTGGCAAGGTCTGTAAAATCAGAAGGAACTGAGGCCCCAGGTGAGAAGCAGGACTCTGGGACTTTATGTACCCTCTCACCTTATGTTTCCATAATCTCTATTGTGCGGGTTTATCGGGAGTGGGAGAAAGTCATGTACAAGGCAACTTGCTGCTTTCCTAATACCTTTTCTACCGAAGGCCAAGTTAGTTCTGAGATGACCCAAGGGATCTGGCTGGTTAAGAGGTCTACAGCAGCCCTGAGCGAGATCTGACCCAACGCAAACAGAACTGATCCTCACAGTGACAGTCTAGAAGGGGAATTTTCTTCTTCTTTTTATCAAATTTCAGTAACCAGAGGTAGAACGAGGACCTTAGAGCCCTACCAACCCAGAACTTCCTCAGCCTTGGGCTGTGAAAGGTAAGAAGTCATATAAACACAGAGGGCTCAAATTTTCTCCTCTGGAAATGAGGGGGGTTGAACTGAGTAAGCTCTAAGGCCCTGACAGCAATTCTCTCAAAGAATCCCTCTACTTTGGTAGAAGACCCCTCTCACCTGTAGTAGAAATGCACGGGGCTGAGGTGGCTGACTGTGGGCATGTAGGAATAGTAGAAGGAGCCATAGAGGAAGACAGATACCCAGAGCAGGAGCAGGATGGTACAGAAGAGCACCCCAAACTGTAGCAGCAGCTTGCGGGCACGACCTGCCAAGATGTGGCCCACCTCCTGGGCCCACAGTAAGGCCGGGACTGGTGGGTCATTGACCATGGCAGGGAGTACAGAGTGTCTGGCCCCAGGTTCAGGCCTTGAGTTCCTAGCTGCTCTGCCACCTGGACGCCACCCTTGGCCATGGGATGAAGCAGCTGGTGGTTCCTGGAAAAAGACAGAGAGGGGGGAAGAATGGCTCTTTTCCCAGGGAAGGGGGAGACTAAAACTGGACGGGCTTTGAGGAACCAGAGATCGCCAAACCCAGCCAAATCTTTGTTTCATGTGGCTTTTCTCCAGATGACTGCGTTTCTCCACCAGTTGCCCCTTCCCTTTTCCTTCACTGTGCTTTCTTCGGCCCCGCCGCCCCAACAACTCAGCTGAACTTGGCTTGTGGACACCTGAGGCAGGCCACCTTGATACTCATTCACAACAACATATAAAATACAGAGGCTGAGCACCTTAAAGGGCTTTTACACACATGACGACACCGAGTCCACACCGCCAGCTGGCTGCACCGAGGGAATGCGCGACTGGCCTAGGGTCGTACCGCCGCACTCAAAGCCGGCGGCCTAAGCGCGGCCACAAGCGCCTCCCGAGTTTCTCCTCTTCTCCCAGAGCTGCGCTCGCTCCCCGACAACAGGGCCGCGCCCGACGCCGGGCAGGGCGTCCTGCTGCCAACGGCCGCCCCCCCGCCAGCACCCCCTCCGGCTGGCGGTGGGCGCGGCGTCCGGAGCCCCCACCTAACCGCGCCAGCAGGGAAACGTGCACGCCAGCCGCCGCGGTTCTGCAGACTCACCAGCTCGCGGGCTGCTGAGGCAACGGCGAGAAGGGACTTCCGCCTCCCGCGGAAGCCCCGCCCCCTTTCGCCGGCCGCCTTTGTGGCTTGGGGGCGGGACCTCATTCCAGGGCGGGGCCCGGCGCAAGGGGCGGGGCCTGCCGGGCGGCAGGTTTCCCACCTCGGCGCGCTGCGTACGGTCCCTCCCTACCGTCCCTTTCCCAGACCCAAGAGGACCCGCGCCTCCCCCCAGGCCTCAAGATAGGCCCCAGGGCACGCTATGAGTCAGCAGCATCCCCCTCAGCCTGCCCCTCGAGGCCGCAATCCGGGCCCTCCACCCACACCTTCACCACCAGCCATTTAAACCCCCGCAAAGGGGGAGAAGGGCGGGCATCCAGCTGGCGCTGGTTTCTATCTCCTACAGCTCCTTGGACCCGTGGGCGTCCAAGGCAGAGGGCATCGCTGACCGGCTGGCTGGCCCCTATCACAAGAGTGACAGCATTTCAGCTCCCTGTTTTGTCTCCAGCATTTAGAATGTGATCGACCTCCTCTGAGCCTAACTGGACTCTCCCTCGGAATCCCCGCAGCGCGTTATGTACACTAGATTTTGGCAGACGGTACCTTCTATTTTGTATATGACTATTCACCCCAAATAAGATCTCTCAGGGGGTAAGATTAATATTGTGTACATCTTCGCATTCCACACAGCACCAAGCACAACCCTGCAGGCCTGGGATGTAATCTCTCAAACAAATACCCACACTCCAAAACCCACCCTGGGAGCTCATCTATTTCAAGAAACATCCAAAGACTTTCCCCACAGTGCCCCCTACCTCTTCTTTGTCCGATTCTTTGATCTGGTATCTGCACACCTCTTTTCCCCCAGCTTCTCCTTGTTCTTTAGGCATCTTCCTGACGTACCTTGTTGCCCCTGGATCTTCCACTCGAGTCACTTGTGGCTAGAACATGAAGTGGTTGGTGATCTAGAAGCTGATACCTGTAGCTCATCACATTTTCCTGGTTATAGGGAATGGAGGGTCCCTGGGAAAGTAAAGAAGATTCAGGTGCTACATGCTATGTCAGAACGGGGGGAGGAGGGAGGAGGGGGGTGACTGCCCAGCTGATGTCAGATTTTCAAATGAGCAGGGTCCCCCGCAACCAGTAGACTCCACTGCAGGCGATGTCACAGGTCCAGACCACCCCACTTAAGGCGGGGGGGGGGGGAGTCGGCCTGGACCTCAGCTCCTTCCAGCTCCGTCCTAGTCCGGATTCAGAATGCCTGCAATGGGGGAAGGGCATCCAGTGAGACAGTTCACAGTGGGGGTGTGCGTAGGGGCTGCAGACAGCAGCCAGGCTCCCCCACTGGCCGGCAGTTGGTATGCTCCAGGATCTGAGCAGCTCCTTCTAGCATCCTTCATCCTTCAGGTACCAGCGTCTGGGCAGTGCTTGAGCTGCAGGAACTGGGACCAGCCCCCGACAGACCTCTGACCTGACCTCCCCAGTGGACTTCTTTGTATTAGCTGCTTCTGCTGCTGCAGCAGATACTTTCAGCTGCAACTCCCTGCAAGGTGGGGCACCCATCTCAGGCAGGTTTTGTGCACCCCACTGACTACTCCCCAGGGCTGCTGCTGCCTGTGGCCTCAGGTGAGTAGGGAAGATCCTGCTTTTCTTCCCCCTGGGGCTCAAGGGGGCCAGGGGGTGTTATGTGTCCTCATCAGGGCGGGGCTTTTTCTGGCTGACGCTTTCAAAGCTGGGAACACACATGGCTGGAAGGGCTGAAAAGCCTTATATCATTTTTATGCCTAATGATCTGTGGCCCAGGCCATGTGGGAGTTTGGGGGGCATTTCATCCCACCCTCTCCATTTCCTTAGCCCAGGAAGACGGGGATGGGCAAGGCCACTGGAAGATGAGGGTAAGAGGAACAATATATTGGGGTATATGATCCCAGTCTTGTAAAGACTGATGAAAAAGGAGCACGGGGGGGGGTGTCTTCAGATGAGATTATGCAGCCCCTCACCCCCCCACATCATGCTCTGAGCTATCCGTCTCTTTTATCCAGGATGAAAGGGGAGACCCCTGTGAACAGCACTATGAGTATTGGGCAAGCCCGCAAGATGGTGGAACAGCTTAAGATTGAAGCCAGCTTGTGCCGGATAAAGGTGGGCGGACCCTGGGTCCCATTAGTTGGCCCAGTTGTGCTGTAGGTCCCCAAATCTCAGGTTAAGAGATGTTTTCTTTCCTGGACTCCCTGCGATCAGGGGAGGAGTCTCTGGCTCTGTAAGGACAGCTGTCCCCTGGCTTCTGTGGGGGGATGAGGGAAGAGAATACTGTCTTAAAGAAGCCCTAGAGATGGCAAAAGATAACCCATTTGGGGAGGGAGGCTGCAGTCCCTCTCAGGGGATCTGGCTAACAATTCCCCTCCTGGCTGTGCCCCAGGTGTCCAAGGCAGCAGCAGACTTGATGACTTACTGTGATGCCCACGCCTGTGAGGATCCCCTCATCACCCCTGTGCCCACTTCGGAGAACCCCTTCCGGGAGAAGAAGTTCTTCTGTGCCCTCCTCTGAGTTGCCCTGTCCCTCGGCACAAGCTCTGAACCTTTCCCTCTCCTAGGCCCTTCCTTAGGTCAGTAACTGTCGTGAGCCCCTGAGGGTCCCTGCATCCCATCCCTAGCCCTTGTCCAACCCCATGAGGTTATCTGAAGCACAAAGCTCTCCTTCACCATCTGTCGACCCCATTTCCTCGCCCACTGCGGCGGACCCCAAGTACCCCCTGACCCAGGGCCCCCCCTTAGCTCCATCCCCAGAAGGGCCGTTCAGACTCTGCCAGCGTCCTGCCGGCTTCTCTCTGTGACCCGCTCAGACAATGGAGAGAGGGATGGGCCGGGGGCTTGCTCTCAGTCTCACCTGGAGCTATGAGAAGGGTAAAGCCATTTGAAGAATAAAGTCATCCAGAGTCTCAGAGGACAGCTCCTGTGTTAAGCGTTCTTGGGGAGAGGATCATCAGTCTGTAGATCTGGGAGTGTGTGCGGCAGGTGAAAGGCTTGCCAGACCCCAAGAATAGGGCCAGTCAAATCAGGTTAGACATTGTCTAGGATCGGAGATCGCCGGGATTGGGGGGATGGCGGGCGCGAGAGGGCGTCTCAAGTGGAAGAATTAAGTTACAACAGACACTCAGAGGCTACGGAGAGCACTCACACACACACGCACGCACGCGCGCGCGAAAGCACTGAACACAAGTGAAAATGAAAACAGACCGAACAGGGTTGATCTAGGGAGGGATTCCGAGGGTAGTCGCAGCCGAGGAACTCTGGAACGGAGGGGAGGAGCTCGGCTCCAGTTCCTGCGAAGGGGCCGGTTTTACTTCTAAGATGGCCGCGCCCACAGCGGGTGCCTTTCCAAGATGGCCACCGCCATGGGACCAGCGCCAATATGGCAGCCCCACGTCACTGGGTTTCGCCGTACAGGGCTTCCGAGCTAGTCCCATATTTAAAATGGCGGCCCCAGGCAGCCAGAGTTCTCAATTGGTCTCTTGTGTGCTCCTCTGGTCTCAAAATGGCTGCCCCTGCCCTTGCCAAGTCGATGCCCATTCCTACCCACCCCGGAGTCTGAAAGTCGAGGTCCCCCCCGATCCAGGTGATGGCACACGGGTGGCTCTAAGCAAAGATCATGGGACAAGAGGACCCTTGCAAGCCCAGCGTAGCAGGCGCTGGTCGCATGGATCTTGCGAGGGAATCTAGGTTCTACAGCTTGCCAAGCAGAGGCTCCCTTTGGGGTGTAAACAGAAGTGTGCGGCCAGTGTCCGGCGCTGTTCCTCGGTCGCCTCCTGGTCTCCCTAGGAGCTGGATAAGCCCAAAATTGTTTCAGTTTGGGTTTCCTGGTAGGGCTTGCTGTGTTCCCATTTCTCCCTCAGGCCCACTCTGTCACATCCGCCAGAAGCAACGTCCCCGCCCCTACTGTGCCTACCAATCTTCGTAGTGGTCCCAGCTTGCCATCTGGCCAGAAGCCAAAACCAAGGCTTAATGTCTCACGAGCGCCTCCCAGACTCAGACTTGGCGGCGGTTTACAAGCCTGGGATGCTTTTCTAGAAGGCTTTTCCTTCCAAGGGTGAACATATGGAGGTGGGACCGGGGCCAAGGCAGGGAAGGTAACAACAGTCCCAGGGTGTCTGCTCCTCATGCATTATCAACATACCCCAAATTCAGGGATAGATCCCTCCTGGGGGAAGCCCAGGCCAGCTTCTCTTTTATGTTGGGATACACTTTGGGCGGGGCACGTGGGTGATTCAGTTGATTAAGTGTGTGTCTTCAGCTCAGGTCGTTGATCCCAGGGTCCTAGGATGGAGACCCACGTCGGGCTCCCTGCTGAGGGGGCTTCTCCCTCTCCCGCTTCCCCTGCTTGTGGTCTGTCAAATAAATAAATAAAATCTTAAAAAAAAAAAAATACACTCTTGCGGGGGGCGGGGGAAGGAGCCACACAGCAGTAATATGAGGTATTAGGGATAGCCATCACCCCCAGTTTCCCCACATCTTTGCACAGGAGAAAGCAAGGGGAGAGGAATGCAGAGAGGAAACCAAAGGAATAAAGGGCATTCTACCAGGAATTGAACTTAGTCTTCTATGGATGTCTCCACAGGTCTAGGGACACCCAACGAACTTGGGGCATTTTCAGGAACAGCAGCTTTCCAGCTGTTGATGAATTTCTGAGCCCTAACAGGTCCTGAACGTCATCTACCTACCTCATCCTAGAGATGAAGAAACAGAGAAAGTAACCTGGTTGCCCTCTTGAAGTGGGGGCCTACCCCCATTCTGTTCAGGAGTCCCCATTAGTTCCTTCTTGGTGTTTCATCAAAATTCCTTAACGGATGGTTTGTTCTTTTTTATCCTTTTAAAGACTGATTTATTTATTCTTGGGGGGGAGGGGCAGAGGGAGAGAATCCCAAGCAGATTCTCTGCTGAGCGCAGGGGGCGGGGGGGGGGGGGGGGGGGGGGGCGGGGGCCGGGGGGACTTGGTCTCATCAGATCATGACCTGAGCTGAAATCAAAGGACTGAGCCACCTGGGTGCCCCAGGATCAAGTCTATTTTAATCCCTGCATCCTTAAAGTGTCTGGCACATAGCTGGCATGCAAATATTTAACGAATGATTGTACTATACATGCTTAAATAGCAAACAATACAGAGCAGACACTAAGAACCTCTTTTTCTACTGCATCACAGTGTTGGGCGAATGCCAGGACAGTAAATGAAAATTTCCCTATCAGCTCAGACTTGGTAAAAAGCCAGAAAAGTAGTGCTCAATAAATGTAATCTTGACATTAGTTGTTTTGTTTTTTAAGCCTCTGCTCAGTTTTTCTGCGCAATTTTCATACTCATCAAATTGGGGGTGAATGGTTGCAGCCCTATTTGGGCACAAAGGGGGCTTAAGAGGTTACCAGATGGGTGGCTCAGTCAGTTAAGCACCTGCCTTCGGCTCAGGTCACGATCTTAGGGTCCTGGGATCCAGTTCTGCATCCGCTCCCTGCTCAGCAGTCTGTTTCTCCGTTTCTCCACCTCCCCCACTTGTGTGCACGCTCATGCTTTCTCACACAAAGATAAACAAAAAATCTTAAAAAAAAAAAAAAAAGATTAATTAGCTCTAAAACTGACTTTAGGATGCCTGGGTGGCTCAGTTGGTTAAGCGACTGCCTTCAGCTCAGGTCATGATCCTGGAGTCCCACGATCAAGTCCTGCATCGGGCTAACTACTCGGCGGGGAGTCTGCTTCTCCTTCTGACTCTCCCCCATCTCATGCTCTCAGTCTCTCAAATAAATAAAATCTTAAAAAACTTAAAAAAAATAAAATAAAACTGACTTTAAATATTCCAGAGAATGGGCAAACACTGAAATCAAGGATAGCCTCTACCTATACAAAGCTGTAAGCTCCCGGGGTCTGAATCTGTGTCCCACACAGAGAGGAGTTAGAGCAGGATCTGTATCTTTTATATCACTATCTTTCAACACACTGCTTGTGAGCCTGTGGCATCTCAGCCTTAGTAAGTGCCTGACCATTTATTAGAAATTACAGTTAGGATCAGTTCAGGGCTGGCAACACAACAGTGCTTTTGTTAAAGTTACCTTCTCACTCTCCAAATTTACTATGAAGTAACCCCCATCAACCATCTTCCATGGAGTACGGCTTCTCCTAAGTGGTAATGACTCATTAGTAAACTTATTCGGGGCGCCTGGGTGGCTCAGATGGTTGAGCGTCTGCCTTCGGCTCAAGTCATGATCCCAGGGTCCTGGGATCGAGTCCCGCATCGGGCTCCCTGCTCCTCCCTCTGCCTCTCCCTCTGTCTCTCATGAATAAATAAAATCTTTAAAAAAATAAAAAAATAAATTTATTTGGCCCCCAAATGGAACCTTACATTTAGCTTTAAGCATCCAACTGGTTTTAGTATAGGCCAAGTACAGAGAGGTCATGACTTACAATTTATTTTCTTCTACTCCAATGGCTCAAGCGCTCAGTGAAAGCAGGCCACTAAGGGAGCTAACAACCCTCAAGTGAAGGCATGGCCGGCTCCCAAGTGATTTGTAGAATAGGAAGGGAAGAAGAGCCATGCAAGAGGAAAGCCATTGTTGGTTGGACCCAGTACAACTTGAGAAAGCAGCATCAACAATCAGTCAACCCCCCAGATGACACACTCCGCCCCAGTCAGTGCAGCCACAGGAGATAGGGTGAATTCAATCCAAATGGTTATTTATTCTAAAACTGGAAGCTACTGTGCCTACATTTTCGCCAGGGTGTAATGAGAACAGGGGAGGAAAACGTTACAGATGTAAACAATGACACAGTTACATTTTTTTTTTTTTAAACGGTAAAACCCTTTTTTACTGGCCACTTCCAAGAATGCTTTACAGGTTGTGCAAAAACATTTACAGGCTCCATGTGGTGTGCGTTTCCATCTACAACAACTACAACAGACGTCTGATAAAACACTAAACAAATCCTCTAAGGAAAACAACGCTAGGGATCCCTCCTGGTAACCCACATCTCCCCCCCTTAACATCGTTTTTTCACAATAAAAAGACATAAACAAAACCCAGACATCTACTGTTGTTGTAAGTGATCTCTTGGGTTAAACCAACGAGGATGTGGCAGTTTCACACTCCATCCATCAGAAAAACAGCTTTTTTTTTTTTTTAAGATGACTTTCTGGTGTCAGAAATTAACAGCAAGTCCCTCCCCTAGCCCTCCCCCACCCCCGACGACCTCCAGACGGCTTGAGTTTTGGCCCCCTGCCCCGAGGGCCCAGCATCCACAAACCGCGTCAGAGACTATAGAGAGATGCTATTCGCTGGAGGACGGAACATTTGGAAAAGAGATGGCAACTTCTGCCTCAGATTCGATTTTCTATCGTTACATAATCTTGCCCTACGGGAATTTCTTTGGGCTCCAGTTTTTACCTCCGTGCCTGACACTACGAGCAAAGCTTTCTCAGACTCCCTTAATAAGTAGTTAGTGGATTACAGCAAAGTTCATGCAATCACTCCACCCACTGCCACACGCAAATCCATGAGGGCACAAGGAAGCAGGCACCAACAGAAAGGACATCATTAGGAGCAAGCCGACTTCCTACCAGCACCCCTCGCCAGTCTCGGGGGCAGAGGTACTTGAGGGGCAGAAGGGTGTATGGGTCAGGGGTGACTGGAGGACTAGGGTGTGGGCCTGCACGCCTAGAGGAGGGCTGCATGGAGGGAATGATGGCCAAGGGAGAGGAAGGTCAAATCTCAGCACAAAATTTTAACCCGAGAACTGCCCAGGTGAGGAAACGGAAGTGAAGCCTCGGCGGGCAGCCCAAGCCGGGCTGTACGTGGTGTTTGCGGAGTAAGCTCTTGGCTGACACAACGCCGAGCGGGAGGATGACTTACAAGTGAAGCGCGGAGTACTGACAGAGCATTCCCATATCCCCCCCCCCCCGGATTCCTGAGCCCAGCCACCGAAAGCTGTTTGTCAAGAACTGGGAGGGTGTTGGTAAAGTCACAAACAAAAACTATCCCAACTGAAGTCTCTTGGCTAGAGGCCTCTCTGGGGACACGCAGGGACAGCACCCCTGGAGGAATCCGGTTTCAAGAAGTCGGGAGGGGGTGCCCCCTTCTCATGCACACGGTACACACGCTCCCATTCTCGCTCTTCCCCTGTTTCGGCAGCCCCACTGAGCTGCCTCCCACCCCCCACCCCCCTCCTATCCACTCTCTACCTGTGTATCAAAAAAACCAGCAGGGCTTGTGCCCTCCACATTGTATAAAATAGTTGCTATTCTCAGCACCTGGGCCCCGGAGCCCACACCACAGGATTCACCTATATACATATCCTGCTGCAGCAAAAAGAATCCTGCTTCGTTTCTGTGTGAGCTGAAACCCTGAGAACCGTTCCTTCTCTCGCACTAGAAGAGGACAGATACTCTAACAGAGATGATTTCAGAGACTTCCCGCCTGTCTCGAGCTTGGAAGACAGAGAGTAGAGACTGGTAAAATCACAGTCTTCAGGCTGAAGGCGGCAATGCCCTTCTCCCTCGAGGTTCTGTAGGAAATTCATTACGGGGCGCACAGAGGGAGGAAGCTATTCTGCTCTGCGGTCACGAACAGTCCCCGTGCTGCCTTGGCCTGGGAACGCCATCTAACAGAACCACCCAACTGGTAGCCTCCGCGCCTCAGCCAAACAGCACGAGGCATGGGGAAGTGGAGACAGGGACACTTTGGCCTCCCAGCCCACCAGACCAGATATCCCGAGAGGGAAAGGTCGGTAAAGAAAATACAAACGGTTAGTTGGTGCAAGTGATTGATAAGAGCCAATCGTTTATTTTCACTGCCCCAGTCACAAGCGGTCCGTCTGTCCCCGCGCCTGCCTGCTCTGGAGAGAGTGCCCTCACGTGCGTGCCCGCCCTCTCCGCGCCACCTCATCACTCTCCCTTCCTTGGCTGCCAGGCCAGCTGCCTCAGAATGTCAGGAGGGTGACATTTTCAGTTCTTTTCCTGTCCAACTGCAGGATATAGGACAGGCAGCCCTAAGTGCCACTTTCTGCGCAAATGTTTTTTGATTACAAATATCTAACTAGGTTTGAAATGTTTTATAGAATAAGACAATATTCTTTTCAACAAACTTTTAAAAAAAATGTACAGTTTTGTTGTTTCCGCCTCCCCCCTCCCCTGCCCCTGCTTGCGCACCCTCCCCCCCCCACCGCCCCTCCCCGGCAGCTCAGCCCCACCCGAACAGCCCCTGTTTTCCTTGGTTGTGTTTTGGGGGGTGCCTGGCACCCCTAGAGATTCAGCTTCATGGCTGACAGGCGAGAACAACAGGGGCTTCACCGATACCCTTGGTAACCGTAGTAGTTCCTGTAGTATCGGTCTCTGTCCTGGGGGTGGTGGTAGTAGTAATTCTGCCACTAGAAGAGAGGGGAAACCCCATCACTCAGAGCCACAGCCGGCCAAGGACGGAGAGGCATGACACTCGTTCCTCTAGTCCTGCCACCCCCACTCTCTCTCCCCAGCAGATACTCACATCCCGATTGTACTGTCTGTAATAGTCTCTGTATCTGTTGTACTCATAATCTCGCCCGTAGAATCGATCATAGTCTCCCCTGTATCGATCGTAGAAATTACGGTAACCCTGGGAAAGGAGGAGTGAAGATTTATGGCTTGTCAGGATCATGATCCACTCCTATCCCATTTTAAATGAGACACACGTCATAGCTTGGTATTATCAACACGCTTCATCTTCCCAGAATAAATTCTTCCAGAGGAACACATTAAATGGGCAAAACCCTAAGCCCTGAGAAAACAGCCCAAACCACTCTGCTCCCCCAAGCCAATAGGAATGGCCATCACGACCCAGAGGGAGGAGCAGGAGGAGAGCTGCACTCACCCCTCTGTTTCCAGACTGCCCCCAGTACTGCTGCCCGTAGGCCCGGTTGTCGTAGCCTCGGCGCTGCCCGCCCACTGGAAGAGAAACGGAGAGCGCGCTCAGACAGCTGGCGTGGGGTCCTGGCTCCACATCTGGGTGGAAATCAAAAAGTCGGAGCCAAAGGCAATTCTGGGAGAATAGGAAGCCTGCTTCTGTCAGGCTCACACAATGGCAATTAAAGCACCAGCCAGGAGCTTTTTAAAGAGTCTGAAGGGGGAGGGCAGAGGAATAGAGAAACAAGAAAACCAAGCCACCTTGCTTTTGAAGCTCCCCAATTCCTGCAAAACATCTAAGATGGCAAAAGGATACATGGCAGAGTTAGAAACAGGAGTAAAAACTGCCATTCGTACAAACACGGACCTTCAGTCTTGGAAGGGACCCCAGATATCCTATATCCTGGATGCATTCTTTTACACCAATGAAATCAAAGTCTAAATACTAAGCTCGTAGTCTACGGGAGGAAGTTGGTATTCCCAGTGCCTAGCGCACAGCAGGCACTCGAGAATTTTGTTCACTTATACACACACACCAACATTTTTAAAGGGCAGTGAATGCACACTGTGGGGTTCACTGACAAACAAGACATTCAGGAGGGGGATTAATTCTACTATTAGCCTGACTTTGTAACCCCCCAAAATTACTGAATAACAATGCATTCACTCTCTGGTCTACACAGCTGGGTTGATCCAACAGGCAAAGCAGCAAGAAACCTTAAGTTGAGAACCCAATTTCATTGCACACATCCTTAGGCTACACTGCAACAGTGAGTAGGAAACAAAGTGGGGCACTCGTATGTAAAAATGAAAACGAGACAGAGGAGAAGGTCAAGCACCGCTTTTCAAGGAAACAAGCATTCCTTAAGCAAAAGGAAGGATTATGGGAAATTTGGCTAAGATCAAGTGAAGCATAAGAAGGTGGGGGTGCAGGACATAGGGAGAACGAGCTCCATAAAGAAGATACTTCCTTACTGCCTATGACTTGACTGGGTGTCCTCGGACTCTGCTGGGGATCCCGCTGTGCGCAGCACCAACAGCACACAGAGGGTGGGGGCTGGCAGGTCCCCAGGACTCACCGTAGCCTTGGCCTCGGCTTCGGTTCTGCCGGTTGCGCTTGTTTCGATTGTTTCGGCGGTTTGTCCGCTTCTCGGAAGGGGGCAGCAGCTTCCTTGCCTCCTCCTTGTACTTAGTGACAATGGGCTGAGCTTCCTCCTTCTCCAGCTCCCCGTATGTCACCTCATCCATGTAGTCGCATTTTTCAGGCAGAGAGAAGTTGGCTGTAAGAGGAAGAGAGAAGCTTGTGAGACCTGGAAAGGGCATATATGTGCAGGAGCTCCCCATGAAAAGCCCACTATGGGAAAAATGGGATTTTATAAGCCTCATCTACCAATGCACGCTAAGGTGCTGGGTGCATACCCACTCACATTTTAATGGACAATGCACTTCCCCTACCAAAAGTGTTTCCCTAAACTGTAACAGCCCCAGGCCAATGGCTATCTGCAAAGTACAAGTTCTCAAGTGTTCCAGAATAAATTAACAGTGAATTGGGTTGAAGTTTCTTATCAGGGCAGATGCAGGTAGCCAGAGGCTAAAAATAACTGAGAAACTTGTGGTGTTGATTAGATAAGACGCTGAGAAATACACTTTTAAGAGAGACTCCATGAGAAACTGACCCAAACCAAAAGGACTTACTTATCTAGATGAGGGGAACAGGAAACAAAACAGCACAAGGGAGCTCATTTACTACCTGCGCACGATGTGCCAGCACATGAGCCGACTCTCTAGACATCAAGGTCAGGGGCTGGGTCTCAGTGGAAGTCAGCTCAATGGGGCTCTCTCGATTCTAAGATGAATCCAGTTAGCCCTCAGCTTCATAAAATTGAATTAAACTCCTTCAAGTGCCTGAATATCAGTTATGGACTGGCAGCGTTCATTCTGAGTTAACTTGGAGACTCCAGCTCTTAAATGTGTCATCGGCTCCCAGGCCTGGGCATTATCATAACTCACAGAGCCAGCAGTTCATAAGACAAGCAGAATGCCAGAAGGTGAAGGCAGCAAGGGGGGAAATCACACTCTGAAGGGAACAACTGGAAGCGCCATCAATCAAGATGGAGATGCTATAAGGCTTTGGATTGCATTAAAAATTTCGGGCACATACCAAAAATCAAACCAAAAGCACAGTCCTAATGTGATACTAGAAAGTAAGGTATACTGATGAGATTGTTCACTCCAAACACCAGAGGTTCATCTGAACCGTAATAATCTCCCCCCTCTAGAATATAAATTCAACGAAGGCAAAGCCTCATTTCACTGACTATTCCCTATGCCTAGAATAGTACTGGACAAACAATAAACACCCTTGAAGCTTTTACTAAATGGGTAACTGACTCAGCAAAGCTTCTGCCTTGAGTTTTAATCACCCTGGGGTCTATCACTACCTCCCTTTTTCTATCTTCTCTGAAATGAGTCAAGGAATTACTGCCTCTCCAGTCACCCTCCTCATTCATTCATCTACAAGTGCTCATACCCATTAATTTAGTCTTCAGATTTACTTTTTTTTTTTTTAAAGTAAGCTCTATGCCCAACGTGGGGCTTGAACTCATGACACGGGAGATCAAGAGTCACATGCTCTACTGACTGAGCCAGCCCAGCACCCCCAGATTTACTCTTTAGATGTGGAGAAGCACTCCAGATGCTAGGAGGTGCTAAGAGGCCCTGGAAAGGTGTGGATGGACCAAGGACAGGGTCCCTAACTTGTATCATGTTAGCCCACCTTTCATCTCCAGCATTATAGACTCAGGCACATCATCTCCCTCCACTTCCTTCCTCAACTCCAGCCTCTTCTTCCAATCTTCCTCATTAGGAACAACCACCACCACTTTCCGAGAGAAAGTCTTGAACAGCAACAGCTTCCGCCGTTGGCCAGAGTTGTACACATTACACTAGGGACAGGAAGGATAACAGATGTTTTAGGAATAAAAACTGCCACTCATATGTAACCAAAACACTTACTGAGCATCTTTTACAAGTGAAGCAAGAGATTAGGGATCTTACAGACACAATTTTCTCTAATTCTTAAAATTCTACCTAACAGATATCATCCTGTTTTGCACATCAGAAAAATTGAGACTCAGAGACCAAGACTTGTCTGAAGTCATAAACCTAGTAAGTGGTGGAGCCAGAAATCCAAACAAGCTCTTCCCATTACCTCTATTACGTGTTTTATAGTCTGGGTCCATACACTCTCTCGTAAAAAACACTGATAAAAGACATCTCTGAGTTCAAAAAACATTAAGACCACAATATACCACTTGGTCATAATTAGTAACTTGGTTCTGATCATTAATTCAGTCTCCCGCTACATGTGCACCCCCTTGGGACTGTAAGCAATTTTATCAGATAATTCTTCATCTTTGAACCTTCTGTAAAGCTAGATTTCTTTCTTTCCTTCTTTCGTTAAGTAATCTCTACACTCAACGTGGAGCTCAAACACACAACCCCAAGATCAAGAGTTGCACGTTCCACTGACTGAGCCAGCCAGGTTTCTCAGGTTGTTCTGTTTGTTTGTTTGTTTCAACGTTTGAACAATACCTGATCAAGAATAAAATTCCTCTTTGTCCGGGAAGCAATCTGGACCAGCTTACTAAGGCACTGGGAGGCTTGCTGAACTAAAAGGTCTCTGCTTTTGGGATCCATCTCTGGCTCCTCAAGCCCCTTCATCTGATGAGTTTGAGAGTAAGTGAAGAGAAACACAAGAAGTTATGCAGCAAGTTAAAACCCAAGAGTCACCGGTAAAAGCCACCTCTTTAAATGCCACCAAAACTATCACAGTAGTTCACTCCTATTCCTCAATGCTGTGAACATACATTGTCCATTTTCTAAAAATTATTTCCAGTCTTGATCTGGATATAGTCCAGATTTCACCTGCTTTCGGCAATTTGACAACACTTAGCAAAGGAAAAAAAACCTACTTTAAACGTATACTGAGAATTCATTTCTCTATTTGTGGGACCCTTGTTCTCAGACAATTAAAAGACCCAACTCCACCAGGAAAAGGTTATAGGCATTTCTTGGAACCCCCAGAGCAAATACCAAGGCTAACCTTCCCTAGCAACTCACCCTCATTTGATTGAGCACAGTCTCAGCTCCCAGGACATTGTATCTTTTCTCAGGGTTTTCTTTTGCGTATTTCAGTGCCCACTGGGTCTTTCCAGATCCAGGCAGTCCTACCATCAGAATCACCTGTAAGTAAGCAGAACCAGGAATATCACTGAAAACTACAGAAGGGTCATGTTTACAAAGCCCTATTTAAGAACATCATCACCTGCCCCAGTTCGGTAAAGCTTTGAGAAGAAACTTTAAGAAAAGCCTGAAGACCAACCACTCCAAAGCACAAGTACCAGTGAGTTTTTGCATGTCGTTTGGCGTACCTCACACTCCTCTCTGGTCTTGGGAGGGACTGCAGTGCGCACACGCTCCTCAACAGGCACAGCATGAATGAACACAAACTCTTCTGGTGGTGGGAAGAAGGGCTCCTCCTTCTGACCAAAGTTTAATTCTACAACACAATTTTTGCAGAGGACATGGGGTAGGAGGGCCCGTTCTGCCAGGGATTCCTTGTTGATCCGGAACGCCACACCGAGGTCTTCACCGTTCTTGGAAAAGGAAAGTTCTACTTCTTCAGTCTCAAAATTCTACAATGACAACAAACAAGATCATTTATGACCTTACAGGATTTGAGACATTAAATCTCACAATTTAATTTTTTAAACTCAGACTGCTGAACACAATTAAGCAAACAACGCATCAAATGCACAAAAGACAGGAGCTGACAGGAAGCAAAATGAGGGGTGCCTGGGTGGCTGAGTGGGTTGAGTGTCCAACTCTTGATCTCAGCTCAGGTCTTGATCTCAGTCATGAGTTCAAGCCCCACACTGAACTCACTGATATATTCCAGACTTTACCTGCTTTCAGAAATTTGACAACACAGCAAAGGAAGTAGGCTCCCGCCTAGCATGGAGCCTACTTGGGGGGGAAAAAAAAAAGGGAAGCAAATTGAATTCCAATGCCCTCTATCCACTCCTTGCTCTGAATCCACAACTCTTAGGAGCACTTACAGCAAAGCAGCCAATGACATCATTCTCCCCAAAAGTCTGGCCAAATTCTTCAAACTGCCCATTCTCTGCCTTGAGTCCTCGTCCATCGAAACCATAAGAGAATTCATCCTCACCTAGAACGGTGAACAAATTAGTTACCTACACCCAAACTTCCCATGGAGTAAGCAATATGGCAGCAAATACAAACGATTAAGTTAAAAATAACATTACCAAGCTGTGGATGGGAAAAATCAACAGACCATCCAACTCGAAGGAGAGAAACCTCTGTGCAGCCTTCTTTCATTGGGAGATTCTGGGTTACCTGGCCAGGTCAGAAAAGGAACTCTCAGATACTCTGACCAACTCAGGAGCAAACTCTGAGTTAGAAAGACAAGACTTGCATATAAACTGAAAACAACTATCACAACTCAACATCAGCATAACAGTTGTCACGGGCGCCTGGGTGGCTCAGCCATTAAGCGTCTGCCTTTGGCCTCAGGTCATGACCCCAGGGTCCCAGGATCGAGCCCCCGCATTGGGCTCCCTGCTCAGCGGGAAGCCTGCCTCTCCCTCTCCCACTCACCCCGCTTGTGTTCCTGCTCTTGCTAACTCTCTCTCTGTCAAATAAATAAATAAAATCTTAAAAAAAAAAAAAAAAAAAAAAAAGAACAGCTGTCAGTGAACTTAAACCATAGGGGTCAATTTCTTGGTTACTGGAGCTAAGGTTACCATTAAAACATGGTGCCTTTTACTGCATTAATAAAATACTGGTGGGCAGGAACCCAAAACACAGTTTAATAATGAGTAATTTAATAAATGAATGGTCTTAATGAGCTGCATATACTACCTTGGCCTCAAAACAGACTTTCCCCTTTGTCACGCCGTAAGTACTCCTTGCCCCAGACCAAAGGGTGGGGAACTTCTCTGAGAAAAGTGGCTGCCCTCCATAGCGGTCTTTGCTCACTTGAAAATGGAGATCCGAGGTATCTGTTAGAAAGAAGCAATCTGTTTATTCCAAAGCTCAACACTTGAAAGCCACCAACAGAATACAAATATACCTAGTTATCAAGAACGGATACAAAGTCTCCGGGTGCTAAATCTCTTAAAAATTGCAGGCCATGGAATTTTAATATTCCAAATCATGTGTGACTGGCTGAAAACCCCAACCTATCTGCCTTATACATACATGTGTCCAGGTTCACGAGAGTCTGATCCTCCTCCTCATCTTTTGCCTCTTCTTCAGGGGGTGGTGGAGACTTTGAGCTGTAGGTGTGAGAGAAAAGCGAATAGTGTATCCAAAGCCCTCTTCTTTGAGGGGTGTCTGTGTCTGTAAAATGTTTTAAACGATCAGTGAGTATAAAACTCGAGCAGACAGCTTCTTTCAGCAAATGAGACGATTCGATCTAAAACTTATGCCTATAAAAACCTATTCCATTTTCAATCCACCCCTCTTTCCAAACTCTCCAATCAACATCAGGTATACCAAAATCAGAGCAGACACTCCTTTCAATGAAAGGGACTGTTTCCCTCACCGGCTGTGGTAAGCCTCCTCTCGGAATTCATAGTAAGCTCGGCCATGTTCATCCTTCTCATCCCGCTGTCTCTTTACCCCCCGCCGCTCACCATCTGAGCCTGCTGGTTTTGACTTTTCACTATCTTGGTCATCTCCTACAAAAAGGAGGGAAAGAAAATCAGCGGTTTTCATTTTGGAATGTAGAATAAGCTCAGAACCAATAGCAACTAAAGGGGGAGCTGAGTGTCTAATCAGAACAGCCAGATTATTCCTACTGCAGCCACAGTACGTTTCATTTCTAAAGACCATCTTCCTGTCATTGGCTGGTATTTTATTTTAGAAAAAAGAAAGGATGGACATTATGGGCTAATTACAGTCAAGCAGTAGATAAAAACTGGACAAGTTTTGCATTCTAAATTTACCTGCTTAAATCAGGTCAAACTTGCAGATTTTCCCACCAATATGACATCTTTGAAAATCCCCTAAGTCTTTAAAACACTTCATAGATTAATTTAATTTAGATTCTTGTCAGATTTGGATGTAAGCTGGACACTTAATACACATTTCCCAACACTGTTCCACAGCTTCATGATACAGACGCCTCAGTATGTGTGTGTGCATTTTAAAGAGTTTGCCTTTCTAGCTTAGGATGCACAGCCATTCACAGCTTTTACTTATACAGCAAACAGACTCAGGTACGTATACACAACTATATTTTTATCACAGGTTTTTACTGAAAGTCGCCAAGAGCAAACCATTAAATCACAAGTGACCCATAAATAATACTGCATCTTTACTGCACGTAATTTGGGGCAGAAAAGTGTTGTCACATATTTAGCAACATTCTCTGCAAGAGGGGAAAAAATTGGAATTATTCCTTAGGCTTCATTAGTTTGCAACACGAAGATTTTTCATAGTAATTTCTTTAAAGCAGTCCTTTATCTCTCAATCTTTTTTATCTGCTATTTCGGATACACGTTAAGTCAAAGGTTATGTAATGGGATTTTTGTTGGAGGACACAGAACAATCTATAAGTTGCATGTGACTGACTTAGAATGGGTTCCAATTATACCATGATTACTAATAGCAGCTTAAAAAAAATCTGTTATAAAAACTAAGGCAACCCACTTCATAGTAAGACTTGGAAGCAGCTCTAGTTTTCTTGCCTACTCTGACAGACAGGTATGGATCAGTTCTAACCATCCTACCACTTCAAAAAGAAGAAAGGTCACTAACTCCCCAGGGCGATTCTACACATTCTCTTCCGAGGTTACTCAAATGGAGCCAGTAACACCTCAATCATTTCAATTCAGGAAGTCAGGGATCTAAAATGTAAAAGGCTGACCAAATGTACAGCAAATCCACAAATTTGCCCATCCACGGACCCAGTGGGAAGATTAAAATTTAATCATAAGAATTCAGGCAAGATAAAACCTCTACCAAGAGGTTGGCTGGTTCTAAATGCACTAGATCAAGACCTTCTCTTCACTAGTTAACTATTAAACTCCACACCCTCACACCACAGGCTGCTAAAGCAGGAGCAAGGTTAGATTTCCAGACTCACTGTGTGGCTCAAGCTCCAGCCAATGGATGGAGCGAACTTTGGCGAACTTAGCTTATTGCTTAATATTTTTAAGGCGGAAATGTCAATAGTCAGGTAACCCGAAGGCCAAAACCTCCAATAGTCCGGTCTGGCTGTCGGTGTAATCGCCAATTTCTCAGCGCATTCCCGCTTTAGGAAAAGATAACCAGAACCGCGGGAGGCTGCTCCACAGGTAGCTCACAAGCAGTTTGCATGCAAAATCGCTCACTTCCATCCACTACCACCAAGGAACCGAGTTAGGCAGGAACCTCCCTCCTGCAGAGAGCGGGGCCACCAGAGGCAGCCAAACCCCCCAGAAAGGTGGGTAGAGAATGAAAACCACCTCCCCTGGGGAGTCCCACCAAAAGGCGACGGGAATCTTGCGCTTTCGGGCAAGTGAGAACAAGGATTCGGACGCCGCGGTGCACGGCTGGGTGCTGGGTCGGGGGCAGTTTGGAGCCCGGCTCCGCTGCCAGCTCCTCACCCTGTTCCTCTGCGGCCTTGTCACCCGGCGCCTCGGATCCCGGCGTCTCGTCCCCGCTCCGCTCCTCCGGCTCGTCTTCCTCCCCCTTGCCGGTGCCCTGCTCTTCGCCACCATTTACCCCACCTGACCCGGCCGTGGCCTCCTCCGCCGGCTTCTCGGAAGCATCAGGCTCGGCCGCGGCCTCCATGGCTGCCGCCTCCGGGGGCTCCGGCGGCGGCTGCGCGGCCTGGCCCGAGGCCTGGGCAGGGGGTGGCTCTTCGTCCTCGTCCTCCAGCAGCGCCTCCTCGTCCTCCTCCTCCTCTTCTTCGTCGTCCTCCTCGTCCCCGCCCGGGCCACCGCCCGACGCGGCCACAGGCCGAGGCTCCGCCTTGCAGGCCCCGCCGGGCCCGGCCCCGCCACCGCCGGCCTCGTCCTCGAGCATCTCGGCGTCCAGCGCCTCCTGCAGCCGCTGCGCCAGATCCACCTTTAGGCCGCGCGAGTCCAGGCCCCGCCGCTGCAGCTCCGACCGCAGCTCGGTCACTTTCAGCCGCTTCACCTCCATCGCCGCCGCCTCCTCCGCCTCCCGCCGCCTCCTCCCCTGCGAACCGTCGACCGAGCCCGACCGCGCAGGCGCCGCCGCCGCCGCCCGCCTCCGCCTCACGCGCCAGCACTGAGCCCGCGCGAGCGAGCGCACGCACGTACGCACGCAGGCAGCGAAGGCCGCGCGCAGCCTCCGCTACGTAGTGTTTGTTTCTCCCTTCTGTTCCCCTCCCCCTTTCGCCTCACGGAGCCCAAAACAACGCAGCGGGGAATTGCTTCCCTTACAGCCCCCTCGGTTCCCCTGTTGCGGGCGGGCGGGCGCGCGCCGAGGACGACGGACTTCCCTCCCCTTACCTCCCGCCCCCTCTCACCCCTGGGCCAATCGCCGCCAGTAGTTTCACCGCGCAGCCGCACCGGAGCCGGAGACGGGGAAGACTGGCTACGGTTCAAGTGCCTCGTAGCACGGAGGGGTGTGCGCGCCCGCCTTCCCGTACTTCCAGCCGCGGGCTCTGCGCAGCCGCCGGGAACTCTCTTCCCACACGCCCCTCCCACCCCGTCACCACCCTTACTCCCGTCTGGCTTCCGATAGCGCTGTCGTTTTAGGGCTTGCTTGCTAGTCTTTCTTCTCTACTACCTATATGTGCAGCAGCTTCTTGAGAGGGGAAAAAAAAAAGCCAGGAGGGAAGCTGATGCACCTTGAAAGCCTACTAGCGATTGTCCTTCTGCTTAGTACGCAAAGTGCTTCCCCAAACCAAGGAATATACAGTGACCCCCGGGCCCTCTTCTCGCAATCCTTCAACTTCTCTACCCAGCAACAGACGGCCGGACTTCCCCTTTTAGCTTTCTTATTGGCCAACTTGAATCGACAGCTGCAACTCTGATTGGTCATGCGTGATCGTCCGGATTCTTCCAATTGGCGAAGCTGCCGGGAGTTTTTTTTTCCGGGTTGATCTGCAGAGGGGCTGGAGAGGCGGGGTCGTTTCTGCGGGATTACTTTTTCGAGGCCGCCTTTGATTGGGCGCCGTGGCGCAATGCGCTCGACCCTTTAGACCCCAAACTGTCGGGACTCTGGCGTCGGTGCTCTAGGTGCTTCCGCCCGTAAACCGAAGCCGACGAGGAGACTTCCGTGCTTGGGCATTTGCAGAGGGCGAGCGGTTGGTCGTGGGGCTTGATGGACTTGCAGCTGAGCTGCTCTGCTGCCGCGTCAGTTTATGCCTGTGGTTTGGGTGCACGGAACGCATTCAGCTCGGTTCCCAGCTTCTGACACAGACATAAACAAATGCTTGTTGAATACGTGCAAATAAAGAGCAAGGGTGGAGGCAAGCGCGGTAGACCTCTATTAGCGGTTGTCCCCGCCTATTCCCTTCCACTTCCGGGTCAGGGAGGTGTGTCCAAAAGAAAGGAGGAAGCAAAATCCGCCGGCATTCCCAAGCCTGCTACAGTTCCTTAGTACGGCCTTTGATTTTTAGGGAGGGTCTGTTCACCCCGCAGTCTCTTTAAGAAATCACTTAATCTCTGGCTTTACTATTCCCACATCCTCTCCCTGATTAGTCCTCTACTTCTAGAGATTGAAAAATACTGCAGAGAAGAGAGGAAGGGGCTGTAGAAGAAACAAGCAAAACTCATTCCCCGGGGGGCGTCCTGGAGAAGGGTAATTTCCTGCATTCCTAAATCGGCTACCTAAATCAATTATTTTGCTCCTATCTCCAGACCTTCAGTTGCTCTTTCACTTCCCAATTCCACAAGAGCTCTGGGCGGCAGAGTTATGGAGAAGCGCCTGAAGGAGGCTCAGCTGTACAAGGAGAAAGGGAACCAGCGTTACCGAGAAGGGAAGTACCGAGATGCTGTAAGTGGGTACCATCGAGCTCTGCTTCAGCTGCGGGGTCTGGATCCAAGTCTGCCCTCCCCGATACCTAATCTAGGACCCCAGGGCCCGGCCCTCACACCTGAACAGGAGAACATACTGCACACCACCCAGACAGACTGCTACAACAATCTAGCTGGTAAGAACAGGGCTGAGGGGCGGGTAGAGTCTCAAGGCAGGCACGTGGAAATCTGTGAACATTGGGAAAAACACGGGCGTGCTCTTCTGCCATGTAATTATTCTGCCATGAATTGAACTGTATTTCCAGTCTCTAGGGCTCTAAATGAGTTTCTACAGGGCCGTGTTTCTCAAACTTCACCTGGAGAGTTTGTTAACTGAGCCCCACCCTCAAGAGATTCCAATTTAGTAGGTCTGAGTTGTGGAGTGGGGAGAACTACCAATTTGTGTTTCTAACAAATTCCCAGGTGACCCTGATAGAATTAGGGAATTTTTTGCACGCTCTGGAGAAAACACTGAACTTACGTTTATGGCATTGTTTCTTTAATATGTAAAATATAGGAAGGAAGGCACTTGCTTTAGCTGGTGGTGTCAGTCATTATTAGATGTTCTGGACAACTTTTCCCCTTTTTCCTCCTTCAAGTCAGCTCTTAGGGGCGCCTGGGTGGCTCAGTCTGTTAAGCATCTGCCTTCAGCTCAGGTCTTGATCCCAAGGGCCTGGGATCGAGCTGGATCCCGACTCTGCTCAGCTGGAAGTCTGCTTCTCCTTCTGTCCCTCCCATCACTCATTCTCTCTCTCAAATAAATAAATAGATAAAATCTTTTTAAAAAATCAGCGGGTCACCTGGGTGGCTCAGTCGATTGGCGGCTCAGGTTGTGATCCCCGGGGTCCTGGGATCGAGCCCTGCGTTGGGCTCTCTCTGCTCAGTGGGGAGCCTGCTTCTCCCTCTCCCTTTACCTACTTATGTGCTCACTCGCTCTCTCTGAATCTTTAAAAAAAAAATCAGCTCCTGGATAACTAGTGTCATCCATCTCCATATGGCCTTGGATGAAGAGACAGATGCCAGAGTTAGTATCACTAAGATTAATCTGAAAAGAAAGTAGACTTCTTAGGTCTGTTCTGTGGCGGACAAAATAATCATAGAGGCTAAAAAAATTATTTTGAAATATATTAAAGCATTCTAAATGGTCCCAGCTGAGGCCATGGAAATTATTAGGATTGGTTTTTATACTTCGTGATGGTTATTTAAAAGTGATTTTTTTTACTACAATAGTTTTCACCTATGATTTGGTGAAAATCTAGCTTTGTTATAGTGTGTGTCCAGCACTACTCTTAGACTCAAATACCGATAATAGTAATTATAGTAGCTAATGTTTCAAGTCGTTCAATTCAACATTTATTTGGTACTGAGGATATGGGAGGATAATGAGACAGATAAAAAGAGCTGCTCTCATGGAACATATATTCAAATAAGGAGATGGACAATTAACAAAGGTAACATCCATAATGTATGAGATGATGTTAAGTGCTGGGGAAAGGAATAAAACAGAGAATGGGGACAGTGAGTGCCACAAGAGAGTGGCCAGCCAATATCTTCACTTTGTAGGTGGACCTGATGGCAAAGACTATGGCTTAGCCATCCATAGAGCCTCTGCTTGGAGGTGCTTGGGAGATGCTCCATAAAGACTTACTCAATTAACCATTTTCACTCATTGAATGCCTGTAACATATGGGCCAGTTTATTTACAATATTTCTCATCTTCATAAAAATTCTGCTAGCTACTTGTGATTATTTCCATTTTGCAGATAAGGAAATGAGATCGTGTCACTGCCGAAAATCCTCCAGTGGTATCTCATTACACTTAGGAAAAAACCCAAACTCTGACGCTCACCTGTAGGGCCTGACATGGTCTGGCTCCTCCATACCCTGAATTTGCAAAGCACATTTATTTCTACCTTCTAGCTTTGTAGGATTTCTTCTTCTCTCGGCTAGAATGCCCTATCCCTTGAGTGACCCTGGTCATTCAGATCTTGGTTCAAAAGTTACTTTCTTCGAGAGGCCTTGTATAATCAAGCATCACTCC